AAAAGAGGAATGAAATAACAGTTGAGTTAGAAAATTAGGAATTACCTGCGCTGAGAAGAAGAAATGAAAGAATCGATTTTGGGGGCAGAAAGGGTAGCGGAGAGGAGTAGAGCCCCCACGCCATAGCCTGCTATTTCGCTTGCTGTTATGTGCTCAAACATTTTCTTCTTTGCATTCTTTTGGCCATAATCTTTTAGTTGCAGACCTTATCCTAGGGTCGTTTACTTTCCATTGGATAACTAGATCTCTCAGCATATATCATATATTTACTTTATATGACAGGGATATAACTCATCCTATTTGGCACTCATGTGGCGTGCGAGTTCCACAATTTATCTTCTGATAAAAAGAATCCCGCGGGGGAGGCTGAATTTTTTTATCCCGTTTGCACAATTCCCAATTTGTCCTCACAATTGCATTTGAAATGACCTAAATACCCCTCAAGTTCCACTTAATTACGATCCAATACCATATAAAAATGCAAAATCCCTTATTCCTCAAACAAGAATTGCACACAGAGAGAAGAAGCCTCGTACCCAAAAAAATCCTCCGAACTTCATACCTCTCGTGCTATTTATCCGTCCACTAAAAAGTAAGCTCGAATTTGTCGTACAACAAAGATTTCTCAATTTAACGAGAAGTAAATTACCTAGTACAAATCCCCTCTTTGAAAATAACTCCAAAGCCGACACACGTATATATTTTCCACACCCGTCTTTCTCAGAAGGACGTCGTCAACGTCCGAATTCCAGTCGCCGCGTTGCGGCTTGTCGTCTGGGCCATCGTTGTCGGAGCTCGTCTACACTGTAATTAGGGCAATTTTGAAACTCACAGAAGAAGAAATAAAATGTTATCGAGAAGGGGAGAAAATAAATCGAATGTGTAGAGAAGGGTAACTTGGTCTTTTGCCTTTTTATCATCTCACTTAATCCGTTGAATTAAATGAGGGATTCGTTTCTCAACATTCCATCCAACAAAGTAAACAGTGGACTAAATGCTGTAAAGTTGGCCTGATTATTTTGTCTTATCCCATCACACAAAGTAAATGAGGCCTTATTCTTTGTCTTATAAACATTAAACGTTAGTGTACAACAAAAATATACCGGCCTATTTGCTCAGTTGGTTAGAGCGTCTTGCAAATAACGCGAAGTCGCAAGTTCGACACCTGCATAGGCCATTTATTGAATTTAGACTCCCAGTAGGTTCACAAATAGGCATGTAATTTTTTTTTGTATTTTGTCGAACATCACAAATATCATTACGCTACCTCGAAATATACAAACAGAGTAACCAACGGGTCACACAAGTTCCACAACAAACAATGAAGGAACTTAAGGAGGAGGAGAACATACATGAACTCCCCTATAAGATCATATAGGCCAGGCAAACACTAACAACAAAAAACACTAAAACAAGCTAAACACACAAGAACTAAATAAACTTGACAAAATATAAATGTCTTCAACAGTAGCATACCATCTGAAGTAAAAGCAACTATTGCGTTCAGGCTTTTCACCATTTGCTCATCTTCAAAAAAAATCATCACACACTTCCACCCCAAGCCACTCTCTTCTCCCTGTCATTCCCTAATTTGCATCAGCTCGGTTTCCACTGGATGTTGTGACACATCCCTAGAAACACACCACCTGGCCACTTCTTCTTTTCCAATAAAAGCCCTCCCCTTAACTCTCATCCCACCACCTTCAGAAACATCAACATTAGATTCTCTCACAAGAATCCCAACTTCTAGTTCCTTTTCATCCCCCTGCTGCCCCATGAGACTCATGCTCGTCTTGCTTGCAATCACCTCTTTGTCATTTGCCTCCTCAAAGCCCAACCATTCTAACTGAGCTCCTTCCACCAATTCTTTTTTCAGAAACTTTCTCTATTCTAAATATCCATGCATTCCTGATTTTCTATTGCCACCAGCGGATGTATGTAGAAAGGGCTATTTTATCCACGCCTCTCCCTGAAGCTTGCAAACTACAAATCTTATCTCACCACTCACCAATCTTTGTAACACACCTGTCTTTCTTGTATCTTGTTTCAGGTAATCCCAGCCAATTTCCTTATTGTTTGGGCTCTTTTCACACCTAAAAAATAGTTGTTCCAGATCCACAACATAATGACCACAACAAGAGCAGATAACATCCCCAGAACTCTTTATGTTCTAACCTTGTTTTTGTTCCAATGTAGTTATGCTAGCATCTCCAAAGAAAACTTTTTACCTTGTGTTTTATTTGAAAACTCCATGTAGTTCTCCAAACCATCTGTCTCATTTTCCCTCCTTTTCTAGTCTCTGCCTGGCCTAATAATCTCTCCTTCATCTTCTGGATAATTTGATAAGCCTCCTTTACAATTAAGACCTCTCTCTTGTTAGTGCTCCACACCAGTCTGTCCTTTGCAGCCCACTGGCTTACATGTATCTTCAAGATGTTATTGGCATCTCTGGTTTTTAAATATTATGCACTAACCCTTGTTCCACTCCTTTTTCCCTGCAACTATAAGATCAGCCACCTTGCATAATTCTACTTATCCACCACAAAGGGACACTGAGACATGAAATTGGTCAGTATGAAATCCAAGGTGAATCCCAAATGTTTACTGACATCCCGTTCCCCACTTGGAACCTAATCCCTAACTTCAGATAAGTCCTAGCCTCTGACCAGCTTTTCAACATTTAGGAATCATAATCTTTTGTTTTTCCTACACTCATTAACTTTTGATTATGGAAATACCTTCCTTTAATAACTCTACTCATAAAAACATTTTGCATTATTAAACCCTCCATTGTTGTTTAAGGATTTGAGCCTCGTTAAAGTCTCCTAAATATCTAAAGCCCAAACGCCCCTCAACCTTAGACTAAGCTAACCTACTCCACTTTGCCCAGTGTATCTTTTCCCCTCTTCCTAAGTTTTACCCCACCCAAACCCAGAAGTACTTGACAAAGATCACTTCACACAACCCTGGGAATTTTGAAAGCATACATCACATACACAAGAAGAGAACACAACACATTTTTTTAGTAAAAATTTCCTACCTGCCTCACTTAGAAACTTATTTGTCTAGTTTGTGATCTTTGTCACCACACACTCTTTCACAAAGGCAAAGCTATATTTTATTGATCTACCTATACCCAAAGGAAGCCCCGAACATATAGAGTAATTAGCCACAACTATTCCATCAATGATTTGACAAATTTCAAGCTTAGATTGCTTAAGAGTATTCGAGAAAAAGATGCTAGATTTGTCAAAGTTCACAGCTTGACAAGAGACAAAACAATAGGTTTTCACAATATTCAAAAGAAGTCTAGCATGATAAGATTCAGCTTGGCAGAAAATCAAGGCATCATCAGCAAAAAAACAGATGTGAAATAGTGGGAGAGTGTTTACTTATTTGCAGACCCTTAAATGCTTTACACAAACAACTATGATGAATTAGATTTGAGAATGCTTCAGAGTTTTTACCATTGAAGATCCAACGGCCAGATTTTATTTTATTTTTTTAATTAAAGAATGTTCTGGGTTCAGATCCAGTTCGGGGTCCAAACTGGCCCGCCTAAAACTCCCAACGGTCTATTTTCAATCGGACCGTTGGATCATCTTGACCTCTGAGAACCTCTGAGATCCAGTGGTCAGGATCCACCCGACCTGTCTGAACTGTCGGGCTGACCCGGAAATAATGATTAGGTTACTAAAGGGATTGAAAAAAATTGACCCCCCCATAAAAAAAATTGGATTTTTCAACCCATTTACAACATCCATCCACTCTTCTGTACTCATTTATAAGTTCTTGAAGTGTTCTTTTTTCACTCTCGTTTCAATTCGAGTTTATTTTTGATGTGTATATACGTACATATATTTATTTTTGATGTGTATATACGTACATATATTTATTTTTGATGTGTATATACGTACATATATTTATTTTTGATGTATACACACACACACACACACACACACATATATATATATATATATAGTATTTATAATGAAATTGATAGTAGGATTATCTTGGACTGAGGTGAGGTGTAAGCCTAAGAAAATTATCGCCTAGAGAGGTCGGTTCCTCCTTTGCTTAGGTCCTTGCCGAGCTCCTCGATTTTGAGATTTTGATCCATTATCAGACTTGGTGCTCCAAAGCTTAACCCTATCTATTACAAGATTTTTTAGGGCCCCTTTATTATAACACATTTTAGGGCCTGCCTTCACATTTTTTACATGGCTAAAAGACGCATCTACGACTTATATTTTCCCAACTGCCACATATGGGAGACAAGTTTTTTCATTACAGTTGTATCCATTCCTATGATTTTATATTCCCAAAAAATACACACGGTGATATAAAAGGAATGTATATCAATCCTTCGTTACCACATTAATTCTGTCTGCAATTGATGTCTGATTTATGTGACNTAAAAAAAAAAAAAAACAAAAGAAAAAAAAACATCTGAAAATGGAACCCTAACTGGGGATAGATTTGGTAAAATTAGGTGAATTTTCAGAAGATTTTTTTTGGAAGCCCGAACCATTGATTGAGTTTGTAATTAACTCATTTTCTAACAATTATCATCACACGTTGTTAACGACCAACTCATTTAATTAACTCTGATATAGTCATACTTGTGAACCGGAGTCAAGTATAAAGATGTCCAAGAGAAACCAAGGAAGAGCAACATGAGGAGTTCTAGACGAGGCTTGAAGGTCTCGGCGACTAAGTATGGGAAATAGACATGCTCACTGTGACTGAATATGAGAAGCTCCACACGACTAAGTATGGGAAGTAGACATGCTCTCTGTGACTGAGTATGAGAAGTTCCACACGACTAAGTATGAGAAGCTCCACACGAGTAAGTATGGGAAGTAGACATGCTCTCTGTGACTGAGTATGAGAAGCTCCACACGACTAAGTATGGGAAGTAGACATGCTCTGTGTGACTGAGTATGAGAAGCTCCACACGACTAAATATGATAAGTAGACATGCTCTCTATGACTGAGTATGAGAAGCTCCACACGACTAAGTATTGAAAGTAGACATGCTCTCTGTGATTGAGTATGAGAAGGTTGAGCTGCTCTAAGAAGATAAGTAGAGGTCATCTCGACCTGCTAGACCTGCTAGAGGTCATCTCGTCTTGCTAGATTTGCAAGAGGTCATCTCGACCTGCAAGACTTGCAGGAGGTCATCTCGACTTGCTAGACTCGTCTCAACCTGCTAGACTTGCGAGAGGTCATCTCGACCTCTTAGACTTGCGAGAGGTCATCTCGACCTCTTAGACTTGCGAGAGGTCATCTCGACCTGCTAGACTTGCGAGAGGTCATCTCGACTTGCTAGACTCGTCTCAACTTGCTAGACTTGCGAGAGGTCATCTCGACCAGCTAGACCTGCTAAAGGTCATCTCGACTTACTAGACGTCTTCTCTACTAGATGTCTCCGTGACTAAAGGTCTCCGCTACTAGACCTTTCCGATACTAGACGTCTTCTCTACTAGAGGTCTCCGCTACTAGACGTCTTCTCTACTAGAGGTCTCCGCTACTAGACGTCTTCTCTACTAGAGGTCTCCGCTACTAGACCTCTCCGCTACTAGACGTCCTCTCTACTAGACGTCTCCCTGACTAGAGGTCTCCGCTACTAGACGTCTTCTCTACTAAACGCCTCTGTGACTAGAGGTCTCTGCTACTGAACGTCTTTTCTACTAGACGTCTCCGCGACTAGAGATCTCAACTACTAGACCTCTCCGCTACTAGACGTCTTCTCTACTAGACGTCTCTGAGACTAGAGGTCTCCGCTATTAGACCTCCGCTACTAGACGTCTTCTCTACTAGACATCTCCGTGACTAGAGGTCTCCGCTACTAGACGTCTTATCTACTTGACGTCTCTGTAACTAGAGGTCTGCTTGACTAGAGGTCTACGCTACTAGACCTCCGCTACTAGACGTCTTCTTTATTAGACGTCTCCGTGACTAGAGGTCTCCGCTACTAGACCTCTCCGCTACTGGACATCTCTGTGACTACAAGAGCATGATCTAGAGGTAGTAATTGGATAATAAAGAATCTTGAGCTGACTAGGAGGTAGATGGAATGCGAATCGTCCAGGGTATTTTGGACACTTCAGGTAAACCGACCGGGGCATTTTGGGTACTTCAAGCATGTAGTTCCCTCTATATAAAGGGGATGAGGTAACCCTAAACCCTAACCTCTACTCATTCTACACACTTTCCATCTCTGCTACTGCTGCTGCTCTCTGAGAGCAGCTCTCTTCCCCACATTCTACACAATTCTACATGTATTATAGCTCTACATTACAGAGCTTCATCTTCCTCTCCTCTCTTTACTGACTTGAGCGTCGGAGGCCCGACGCCGGAACCTCTCCCGGCGTTGGGTTGTTGCAGGTGTTTGTGGCGGTCTAGCAACAATTAGAAGGCGATTCAAAAAGATCGAAGCTTACAACAACCGGTTTACTCCAGATCTGGAAGTAGACTCATCATTTGGCGCCGTCTGTGGGGAGCTCTTGAAAGAACTAAGAGCTTTGCACCTAGTTCTGATCTGTTTGAGATGGTTGAGAAGGGAAGTGTGTAGATGAATTTGAGTGAGGAGTTGTAGGGGATATGAAGAGGAACGAAACCTCTTGTGGTTCTCAACCTTGAGTTTTTGATCTCTGTAAAGTGGTTGCCACCGTTTGATTCTCACGCGGCATCATGAGCGCGTATAGAAGAGGAGCTACCTTCACCCTTGGAGAGGAAGAGCCAGTTCTTTGCTGAGACGCAGAGCAATAGACCCTCACCAATGACACTTGGTGAAGGGCAAAGAAATATGGAAAAATCACTAATTAGAGATACCCATGACAAGTTGGGGTCATTCTGGACTACCTAGAGACACTGATGACGAGTTGGGGTCATTCTGGACTACCTGGAGACACTCATGACGAGTTGGGGTCATTCCTGACTACCTAGAGACACTCATGGCGAGTTGGGGTCAGCCTGGACTACCTGGAGACACTCATGACGAGTTGGGGGTCATTCTGGACTACCTAGAGACACTCATGACGAGTTGGGGTCATTCTGGGCTACCTAGAGACACTCATGACCAGTTGGGGTCATTCTGGACTACCTAGAGACACTCATGACGAGTTGGGGTCATTCTGGACTACCTAGAGACACTCATGACGAGTTGGGGTCATTCTGGACTACCTGGAGACACTCATGACGAGTTGGGATCACTCTGGGCGATCTGGAGGCACTCATGACGAGTTGGAATCACTCTGGATGATCTAGAGGCACTCATGATGAGTTGAGATCACTCTGGACGATCTGGAGGCACTCATGATGAGTTGGAATTACTCTGGAAGATCTAGAGGCACTCATGACGAGTTGAGATCACTATGGACGACTTAGAGACCTTCAGTTAGGTGGAAGAGCGACTTTCGTGACTTATATACAACTAAGTGAGACTTATATACAATCATGGCTAGAGAGGCCTAGCTCTAAATCCAAAGGAGTCTAAGTCTATAAGAGAGAATGACTTAAGCTTCTAAAACAGCTACAAAGCTGAAGACGACTACGAAGTCGATCATCTCAAACTCCACCATGACTAAAGCTTTTGAAAAGCTGGGTGGTCACTTGTTTTGAACAATCCTAGAGTTGGGTTGGGCAAGTGTTTGAAATCAAACTCCACCATGACTAAGGCTTTTGAAAAGCTGGGTGGTCACTTGTTTTGAACAATCCTAAACTTGGGTTGGGCAAGTGTTTGAAATCAAAATCCACCATGGGCTTTTGAGGAGCTGGGTGGTCTCCAACTTTGAAACAACTCGCAAGCTGGGTTGAGCGAGGTCGTGAATTGAAAATTTTTCTAAGTTAAACTGCTCTACGCTGCCTAGAGTTGCTCGTTGATTCCAACTTTGAACAGCTCGCAAGCTGGGTTGGGCGAGGTCATGAATTGAAAATTTTTCTAAGTTAAACTGCTCTACGTTGCCTAGAGTTGCTCGCTGATTCCAACTTTGAATAACTCGCAAGCTGGGTTGGGCGAGGATAGATTGAGGATAAAAAGCATAATAGGAGAATTGATTGCAAAAGGGAATTAACATGAGCTAGAATCTCATCTTGACCTGCTAGACTTGCTAGAAGTCGTCTCGACTTAACAAGAGCAGAACAAGAGCTCATCTCGACTTGACAGGAGAGGAGCAAGAGCTCACCTCGACCTGCTAGACTTGCTAGAGGTCATCTCGACTTGACAGGAGAGGAGCAAGAGCTCATCTCGACTTGACAGGAGAGGAGCAAGAGCTCACCTCGACCTGCTAGACTTGCTAGAGGTCGTCTCGATTTAACAAGAGCAAAGCAAGAGCTCATCTAGACTTGACAGAAGAGGAGCAAAAGCTCATCTAGACTTGATAGATGAGGAGCTAGAAGCTCACCTTAGCCTGCTAGAGGTCGTCTCGACTTAATAGGATAGGAGCAAGAGCTCATCTAGACTTAATAAAAGAGGAGCAAGAGCTTATCTAGACTTAATAAAAGAGGAGCAAGACCTCATCTAGACTTGACAGAGGAGGAGCTAGAAGCTCATCTCGACCTGCTAGAGGTCATCCCTACCTAACAGGAGGGAAGCAAGAGCTCACCTCGACTTGACGGAAGAGGTGCTAGAGGTTATCCCGACCTAACTGTAGAGGAGCAAGAGCTCATCTCGACATGACAGTGGAGGTGTTAGAGGTCATCTCGACTTAACAAGAGAGGAACAAGAGGTCATCTCGTCTCAACCTGCTAAAGGTCATCTCGACATGCTAGAGGTTATTTCATCTCGACTTAACAACGGAGAAACTAGAGGTCATCGCAACCTAACAAAAGGAACTAGAGCTCGTCTCGACCTGCTAGAGGTCATCTCATCTCGACCTGCTAGAGGTTATGTCATCTCGACTTGAGGAAAGAGAGAGTTAGAGGTATCTAGACCTTGTGATAAACAAGATGAAACACTCACCGCGACTTCATCTCTATCAAGCAAAGATTTTGAGTGGTCATCGCGACATAGTAACTCAAGTGCTTGAAGATGTCTAGCATAATTAAGCTACAGACACATCACAAACAAGCATGAAGCGAAATAAAAGTGCAAATACTTGTAGGTCATCGTGACCTTTAGCAAAAAGAAGAGAAAACATTATGGTCTTCACGACCTTACAAAAGAGCAACAGTAATCATACATGAGCAATTGTTTATACGGTCATCTAGACCTTACATAACTTAAAAAATAATCGAATTACGAGCTATGGGAATTACAATGTTTCTCTAGCTATCTTAATATTTTTACGAAATTGCTATAGCTACTTCGCACTGGAAATGCCTATTAATCCATAAACTTGGAGTCGTTGCAAACTATTTACATATGGAGAGCTATATGAAACTACGAGCTCGGAGCTGCAACAAAAAGCCTCGAGCGGGGTATGGTATTAGCCGATATGCGAGCCGCTACAAAAGACTTGAGCAGTCTATGTCGAAATTTGAGTTGCTACCCATCATTGCTATTAGTGCTGCGAGCAAATTGAAGCTAATCAATGATGCAGCAAAAAACAAAAAATATATGTATCATGAGCAGATATGAAAACAATATAAATGCGAGCAGCCAAAAAACACACATCAATAAAGGAGCAGTCCCATACGCAGTAAGCTGAGGGACAACCCAACAAAATCAGAAGATCGATATATCACGAAAATACAAATGCTAGCAAGGCGCAAATCGGGATCACGACTAACCTGTCGATCTTAGACATCGCAAGCAGGCAGATCGCGAGCAACTTACCCACACGAACCCCGACCGACATCGCTAATTGCGACCAAGACATCGCGAATTTCGGAAAAATGACGAGCAATCGTGAATCTCGACTTGCCCGACATGAATTAGGGAAGAAATTCGTTACTGAACACGCGAGAATCGCGAATTGCAAAGAAAATTGAGACTCGAAACGAGAGATTGCAAGCTGAGGAAATCGCGACTAAGCATGTTGCTGAGAAAGAAAATCGCAAGTCGAGAAGAAAATTGCGAATTAGAGACGATTAGTAGCGGCTAACCCGCCGCTAATTAAGCAAACACCCACAAAAACAGAGCCGATGAGGGAATTCTGCGAATTGGAAGGAAATCGCGACTGGAAAAATAAAATCGCGAGCAGAACATGGCGATTTGGGGAAAATGACGAGCAGTAGCAAATTTGCGACTAACCCATTCCGAATTGGGGGAGAATCGCGAGCAGTAACAAATCTCGACCTGCGCGACGAGGTTTAAGGGAAGAATCGCGAGTCGACAAGAAATCCGTGATTGAAATCGCAAGAGCGAGCTGGGAAAAATTCGTGATTAGCGAAAGTCTGAGGAGAAAATTGCGAGGCGAGAAGAATATCGATTAGCTCGTGAAGGAAGATCCGCGAAAATAGCGACTAGCCCGTCAAGGAACATCGATTGAAATTGGGACTAGAAAAATTGCGAATCAATGAACAAATCGCGAATTAGAAATACATGAGGTTATGAGGTGGGAAGAAAATCGCGAGGAAGAGCGAACTTGGAGAAGATTCTCGAGAAAATTAGAAAGCAAATAGTGAAGTCGAGAAGAAAATCGAGGGAAGAACCGGCGTGAACTTGGAGACGATTCTCAAAGAACTCGACATAAAGAATCGAGAAGACAAGAAGAAAGAAAAGTGGTGTTGAGCATTTGAGTTGAGCCTAATGCATTGGGCCCATGGAAACTAATAATTTATACTAATCCTACATGTGGAAACAAAATACATGCTAAAGCTTATTCATTTCGAGCACTCGAATCAGAAAAATCTACAAATAAAAAATACACAGGATTACGAGGGAACGAAGACGTCCATCCAAATACTGCAAATCTCTGATAAATGCTAGAATTCCCAGACTACTGGCCTTACTCTACAACTCGAGTCGCAGTAGAGTAAGTTTTGGGGGAGACTAGAAGATAGACACCACTAAGTATGAGAAGCTCCAAACGACTAAGTATGAGAAGCTCCACACGACTAAGTATGGGAAGTAGACATGCTCTCTGTGACTGAGTATGAGAAGCTCCACACTACTAAGTATGGGAAGTAGACATGCTTTGTGTGACTGAGTATGAGAAGCTCCACACGACTAAATATGAGAAGTAGACATGCTCTCTGTGACTGAGTATGAGAAGCTCCACACGACTAAGTATGAGAAGCTCCACACGACTAAGTATGGGAAGTAGACATGCTCTCTGTGACTGAGTATGAGAAGCTCCACACGACTAAGTATGGGAAGTAGACATGCTCTCTGTGACTGAGTATGAGAAGCTCCACACGACTAAGTATGAGAAGTAGACATGCTCTCTGTGACTGAGTATGAGAAGCTCCACACGACTAAGTATGGGAAGTAGACATGCTCTCTGTGGTTGAGTATGAGAAGGTCGAGCTGCTCTATGAGAAGGTCGAGCTGCTCTCCGTGACTAGAGGTCTCCGCTACTAGACGTCTTATCTACTAGACGTCTTTGTAACTTGAGGTTTCCTTGACTAGAGGTTTCCGCTACTAGACCTCCGCTACTAGACGTCTCCATGACTGAGGTCTCCACTACTAGACCTCTCCGCTACTGGACATCTCTGTGACTACAAGAGCATGATCTAGAGGCAGTAATTGGATAATAAAGAATCTTGAGCTGACTAGGAGGTAGATGGAATGCGAACCGTCCAGGGTATTTTGGACACTTCAGGTAAACCAACTAGGGCATTTTGGGTACTTCAAGCATATAGTTCCCTATATATAAAGGGGATGAGGTAACCCTAAACCCTAACCTCTACTCATTCTACACACTTTCCATCTCTCTGCTACTGCTGCTGCTCTCTGAGAGCAGCTCTCTCCCCCACATTCTACACAATTCTACATGTATTACAGCTCTACATTACAGAGCTTCATCTTCCTCTCCTCTGTTTACTGACTTGAGCGTCGGAGTCCCGACGCCGGGACCTCTCCCGGCATTGGGTTCTTGCAGGTGTTTGCGGCGGTCTAGCAACGATTGGAAGGCGGTTCAAACAGATCGGAGCTCACAACAACCGGTTTACTCCAGATCTGGAAGTAGACTCATCAAACTCATTTTCTAAGTGCACCAAATAGTTAACTTCCAAATTCAAATTTAAATATAGTTTATTTTTAATTTATATTGAGTTTCTGAACCAATTTTTTTACCAAAATTTATATCTAGATTATTTTAAATTTATTATAAGTTTATAAATCATTACAAGAATACTTATTTTTAATTTATTATAGGTTTATAAACCATTACAAGAATACTTATTTTTTATTTATTATAGGGTTATAAACCATTACAAGAATACAGACTGTAAATTTAAATTTATATATGGTTTATTTTCAGTTTATTATACTAGAAAAAATCAATTTATTATAAAATTAACACTTTTATACACACAAAATGTAAATTTATATATATATATATATATATATATTATTTTCAGAATACAAACTATTGATAAACATAATAAAATCATAGATAAACATCAATTAACACTCAAAAAGTTACTTAATAATAAAAACTTCCACATATTATTCCAGCTTCAAGAAATCATAGATAAACATCGAATTAACACTCAAAAAACTATAACTATTTTCCTAGAAATTAACACAAGTAATGAAATCATAGATCAATTAACACTCAAAAATCTACTTTATAAAAAACTTCTACATATTATTCAAGCTCTCATCTTCAAAAAATCAAATCATAGATAAACATCAAACAAACATCGAAGTAACACTAAAAAGGCTACTTTAATTTTTGTTTTCTAAACATAAACACACATAAATTAGAAAAAAGGGGAA